CACTAAGCGCCTCCAGGCCCGGCTCCGTCGGGCTGCTGGCTACATGGTGTAAACAAAACACCATGGTTTCCGCCTCGTGAATCTCATCGCTCTGTTGCGTGGAGCGAGCTCTCGGGACCTTGTGTACCTTCCCCTCGGGTTCCACGCGCCCGCGTTTCCCTCCCTGCAGGGCCTGCGAGTGCTCGGCCCAGGTGCTGCGTCAGAGAATTTCCAGAAAACGGTCGGTTTCTCCCTCCCTCCCTCCTTTCTGTCTTTCATTGTTGTCTAGGGGTAGACTTTATTTCCCCCACCCCAGCGAGGTTAAAAAAATTATAAAATAGAACTAAATCAGGCATTGTAGCACCAATAACACGGACCAGTTCCCGCCTTTTTCTCCTACGGCGCTTGTCTGTAACACGGCTATGAAAACAGCTGAGACTGGAACTAGCTTCCGGAATATCTGACCTGAGGCCCGGGGACAGGGCGAGAGGGGCTCTGCCAGCTGGCCGTGGCCTCGGTGGATACCTGCTCGGGCTCGCGACGGGCTCTCAGGGATGTAAAAGTGCCCCCGGCCTGGAGGGCTCTGGGTGGGTTTTTGTGACTCTGCCACCTCCTACCTCATGATCCATCGCTCGTCCCTGTCACCTCAAGACACCTTCCCTGCAGTCGCCCCCCCTTATTCTCAGGGATACATTCCAGGACCCCCAGTGGATGCCTGAGGCCATGGACGGTACTGAGCCCTGTATGTGCTGTTTGTTCCCACACATACGTGCCTCTGACAGAGTTTAATCAGGCCCAGTAAGAGATTAACAGCAGTAACTGCTAATAAAACAGAACAATTATGGCAATAAAATAGGGTGACTTGAGCACAAGCACCGTGATGACAGGACAGTGGATCTGACGACAGCCAGGTACCGAGGGACCAACGGGCAGGGCTGGTGCGCAGCCGGAGACTCGGACAGAGGATGGGCCACGTCCCGGGGGCGGAGCCGGCCGTGCGAGGTCTCCTCTCACCTCTCAGACCACGTGCGGTTTGAAACTTATGAATGTTGACGTCTGGACTTTCCTATTTCATATTTTTGGGCCAGGTTGTCTGTGGGTAACTGGAACCATGGAAGGTGAAGCTGGATAAGGGGGACGGCCGTCCCTGCACCGTCCTCGGCTGGGTCCCGTTCTCCCTTCTGCCAGCTGGGGTCTCTCGTAATCATGCTTTAGGACAGGTGTGTCCCATTTGGCACAAGAATCTGGGGCGTACTTACACTACAATGGTGTTGTTTATCTGAAACTAAGATGTGACGGGTCCTGCATTTTATCTGTAAAATTCTTGTTTGATGTGATATTAATTTTGGAGTCCAGGGGCGTCCTGAGGGCAAACGTTTGAGCAGCTCAGGTCCAGTGAACTCAGCATGAGCTGTTTCCTCTCCCCTTTCAGACGTTTATTGTTACTCTGTATCCTGACGGCAAGAGAAACACACCCTTCAGGTGTTCGTCTGCCCATCACCTCTCTGCCAGTCATCTATCATCTACTATGTATCATCTACCTATCATCTATCTCGCTCTATCNCTGCCAGTCATCTATCATCTACTATGTATCATCTACCTATCATCTATCTCTCTCTATCTTATCTATCTATCTATCATCTATCTATCTATCTATCTATCTATCTATCTATCTATCTATCTATCTATCTATCTATATCATCTCTATCTATCTATCTATCATCTATCTATCTATATCTATCTATCATCTATCTATCTATCTATCTATATCTATCTATCATCTATCTATATCTATCTATCATCTATCATCTATCAATATCTATCTATCTATATCTATCTATCTATCATCTATCTATCTATCTATCTATCTATCAATCTATCATCTATCTATATCTATCTATCATCTATCTACCTATCATCTATCATCTATCAATCATCTATCCATCTATCATCTATCGATGTATCTATCTACATCTATTTCTTTAACCATAAACCTTTTTAACCTCGAAGTATATAAAGGTGGGGTTATCACTTGTGAAAGGTATTTCAGGGAGCACCGGGGGACAGCAGTGCTGGGTGACACAGAGAAACGAGCCCAGAGGGTAAGCGCCCACATGGNGGGAGCACCGGGGGACAGCAGTGCTGGGTGACACAGAGAAACGAGCCCAGAGGGTGAGCGCCACNAGCAGTGCTGGGTGACACAGAGAAACGAGCCCAGAGGGTAAGCGCCCACATGGTCTCTCTGGACCATGTTTCACATGAGCGGCTTTCGATGAAATCATGAGAAGTTGCCACATCTCTGGGCCAAGGCACCTGAAGAGGTCGACTGAATTTATGAGCGAAGGGTGCTGACTGAGGCGTGTAATATTTTGATGAGCAGTTCGGGACTTTCAAAATATAGTATATATTTTATATGCTTCGTTGAAAGTGCTTTAATTTCTATGCAAAGCAAGTCAGGTTTTGTTGTTTTTTTTTTAAATAGTCATNTTGGCTCCCTTCTCCACCTCTGTGAACAGCTCTCTAGTGTCCAAATCCTAGCCCTTCTTTCTTTCTTTTCTTTTCTTTTTTAAAATATATCTTTATTGATTTCAGAGAGAGAGAGGAAAGGAGAGGGAGAGAGAGAGTAGAAACATCCATGATGAGAGTCATTGATCGGCTGCCTCCTGCTCGCCCCCGACTGGGGATCGAGCCCGCAACCCGGGCCTGTGCCCCGACCGGGAACCGAACTCTGACCTCCTGGTTCATGGGTCGACGCTCGCCCACTGAGCCATNCGGCTGCCTCCTGCTCGCCCCCCACTGGGGATCGAGCCCGCAACCCGGGCCTGCGCCCCGACTGGGAACCGAACTCTGACCTCCTGGTTCATGGGTCGACGCTCGCCCACTGGGCCACGCCGGCCGGGCAGGTCACATTGTTTTCCCCGAGGGAAAGGAGACAGAGGCTCCTGGTCAGAGGTGACTGGAACTCCGGGCACCTGTCCCTTCACCGCCTGCCTCGCCTCCCGACCCACGGCACCCGCCCTCGAGTCTAAGGGACCTCGGCCTGTGTGGAGCCCGAGCCTCGGAGCCAGGGGCAGATGTGGGCGCAGTCACTGTCCTTCATTGGCTGTGAGACTGGAAGCCGTGCCTGAGGTCCCCAGCGGTGCCCGGGGCGTTACAGGTCAGACGCCGTGTCCCCAGCCGCGGCACTTCCTTCTGAAATCCTTGGCTGTTGAACAGTTTGCTAGTAGATCCTGGATCTTCAGTCTCCGTTGCTTACGCCTTGGTTTCCAGACGTCTCCAACGCTGTGTCAGGCACCCGGTGCTTCGGCGCCAGGAATACGGACGGGCGTCGCCCAGAATGCAGGCTGCATGACATGGAAAGGTAAAGACACTTNGCCCAGAACGCAGGCTGCATGACATGGAAAGGTAAAGCCACCCCCAGATGGTTTTAAAAATCAGCATTTTCTCTTCTCTTTTCATCTCTGTGGCTTCTGCAGTTTCTGTGCATATTTTTATATTTCTTGATAAAAGTAATGACTAATTCGGTTGACATGGTGGACGCATCTTGTCATTTTCCTGAATTATTTCATATCATGCACCTAATGACTGCCTCTTGCTCAAAGGAAATCTTGGTCTTTTTAAAAATAATTGAAACTCAAAATAGTTATTTTGCATAGGAGATGTTCACAACACGTTAGAATAGTATTATGTGGAGCTATCGTTCCAGGGACTATAAAATAATAATAATAATTCCTCTCTTCTCCCCCCTCAAAAAAAAATTAGGTGAAATAAATTTGGAAAATGCTGGTGACTATAATTTAAGCTGGTTTCTTTACCGTAGAGTCGCCTAAGCTTTCATGTGCTGATACACCTGCGCCTCCCTGAGTGAGGGCTGCAACCTGG